ACATCATGTTTGAATGTGAGAATCTATGTAATATACATGTGTGACTATAATCATCACTAAAATACATTTGTCTTTAAGGATATATCTTTATATTATGTAAATATAAATATTTTTGTTATTATATGTGTTCTGGATGTGACGTCATCTGTGTGGGCATATGTGTAGGGGTTCTTATCTCTAGTTAGGTCTCTATGTAGGAGAGAGTCAAGGTGATATGTATTTATCTATGGGTGTGTTTATGCTCTCACAAAGGTTTATAACTGGGGCAAAGTGCATCCAAGATGGACCAGTCCCTAGAGGTAGGGATGTGTGAATTTCAAACAGTCAATGTTCCCACTCACGGGAGAATATAATTTTAAATACAGTAAGACCCTCCTACTTCACAGAGATAATCATTTAAAAAAAAGAAAAAGAAGGGTACACTTTTTTGAACAACTAATGCTGCACACATGAAACACCAGGCTCGGTACTCTATTGTTGCACTTGGTCTTCACAATTAACCCAAGTGGGTAAAATTAACCCAGTTTTATAGATGAGGAATCTGAGCCTGGTCCAAAGCAGTATAGGTAGTAAGTGGCAGAGCAGTCTCATTTCAGAGCCTAGACTTTCACTTTCTACCAGAAAGTCTCAACTAAAATGTGAGACAATCTTCCCAAGGGGGGAAAAATGATGAATGAGTATTTTGTCAGATCTCAGGCCAGTTTTTAGTGATATGGAATGTGATTTTAACTTTATTCAGAAAGCGTCCTTCACATCTTAGTTTCACATAAGAGAGAATTACAGATGTTTGCTTAAGGCTGAAAGCCATAAAGTTAAAAGGATTCTGGCCTTCAGTTTAATTGCAAACTGGAAAAATATGACCAGGAAGAGCACTCCTTCCCCTCTGGGCTCCAGGACACATTTCCTGGGTCTCCTTCCCTAGTCGTTTCTCTCAGTCCTCATTCAGGGACCAGGTCATCCTCCTCTGGCCCCCGTGCTTCGTGGTGACATCCCTCCCCATGTGGTCTTTATCTCACTTAGATGCCCTCTGCCCTCTGTGGGCTGCCTCACCCACACCGTTGGCCTCACACACACCCCCTTGCAGTTCTCCAGAAGTAACCTACCTAGAGAGCTCACGAGACTTTCAAACAACAATTCCAAAGTGTATCTCAATTTCTTCCCTTATTTACCCACCCTGGATCATTCCACTGTTTTCCTCCTATACTCTCTATCTTGGCACCAGCACCCACTCACTTACTCAGGTGAGAAACCAGGGTGTCATTTTGGGGATACTCCATCCACATTCAATGAGCCTGAAGGTCTTCTCATGAATGGCTCTCAAAGACACCCTCCTTTTTTCTCTTCCCTGTGCCATTGCCTCGGATGGTTGTGTCCCTCACTACCTGTGCCCTGGGCTGCCACTGTCAACAGCTGGTCTCTGGCTGCCAACCAGAAAGTCCCTGCCGGTGTGCGTGCCCTTCACTATCTGCTGTGGCCAGCACTCCAGTCAGAAGACTCTCTCCTTCCACAACTTAAATCCCTTTTCTGGTTCCTTAGTGCCTGCAGGCTAATGGCATAAAAGGCCCTACACATTCCCTCTATTACACTCCAGTATTAAATTCCATATATTAAACAACTTCAAGTTTCTAGAAGATAGGCTATTTAAGTCCTCTATGCTCTGGTAAATATGCACGTCTATCTCAATTGAATTGCTGACTTCCAATTATTGGGGTTTCAAACCAGACCGATCAGCCTCTCAGGGATCCACCTTCTTTGGGAAGCTTTCTTTTGTACCTTGTGCTTATGTCTATCCTTGCTTTGTCACTGTATTGTTCTGATTTGTTCATAGGCATGTCTGCCTTTCCTATGTCAGATTCTTGAGGCCAGCAAGATGCCTAGCATATAGTGAATGCTCAATCATTGTACAATTTCTTAAATATTTCAATTATATGAAATTATTATTATATCTCAAATGAAAAAATTCGAAGTCCACATCCAGGAAAATCTTCTCCAGATCAAACTCTATTGGGAAAGCCGTTCTACACAGGCTCCTTTGGAGTCATTTTTACAACCACGTATTTGTCAAGTACTCACTACAACAAACAAATGCAACAAGTGAATCTTGGATTGGATTCTGAACATAAAAATACAGCTATAAAGGACATTACAACTAGAGAAGTGGAAATTGATTGTATGTTAGGTCATGTTATTGAATTAATGTAAATCCCTGGGGATCCCTGGTGGCTCAGCGGTTGGGGCTTCGGCCCAAGGCGTGATCCTAGAGTTCCGGGATTGAGTCCCATGTCAGGCTCCTCGCGTGGAGCCTGCTTCTCCCTCTGTGTCCCTGCCCCACCCCCCTCTCTGTGTCTCTCATGAATAAATAAAATCTTTTTTAAAAATAATGTAAATCTTTTTGGGAATGATAATAGTATTACAGTCAGCTAGAATGTCCTTTCCCTAGGCATAAAAAAACAAACTTTGAAGTCTGGACTTATATTTTAGGAGTTCATTTTATTTATTTTTGAGAGAGAAAGAGCACATGCACATGAGGTGGGGTGCAGGGGTGAGAGGGAGAGGGAGAGAGAGAATCCTAAGCAGGCTCCATGCCTGACAAGGACTCAATCTCATGACCTAAATCAAAATCAAGAGTTGGAGGCTTAACCGACTGAGCCACCCAGGAACCCCTCAAAGAGTTCATTTTAAAAGAGCATAATAATATAGAGATATAGCAAATGTGGCAAAATGTTCAATTAAAAGTATGAGTACTCTTTCTATTAATTTTCCAACTTCTCGGGCAGCCCTGGTGGCGCAGCGGTTTAGTGCCGCCTGCAGCCTGGGGTGTGATCCTGGAGACCTGGGATCGAGTCCCGTATCAGGCTTCCTGCATGGGGCCTGCTTCTCCCTCTGCCTGTGTGTCTGCCTCTCTCTCGCTGTCTCTGAATGAATAAATAAATAAATCTTTAAAAAAAAAATTTTCCAACTTCTCTGCATATCTGAAAAATTTCAAAATAAAACATTTGGGCCAAATGCTAAGAACACAACCAAAAATGAAATCAATAAATCTTTTGAAATTTAAGCATCAATGTTGCTCTTGGGGTGTCCCACTCCCAAACCTTCCATTGTCATGTTCACCCCTTAAAGCCACTGCATTTCAATCAAGTTTGTGTTTTAAAGTTGTAAGCTACAGTTACCCCTCACAAAACACTCTACAGTTTACTCTCCTAGTTGACCAACCTTCCTTCACAAGACTGTTGATTTTTATTTGCCTAAATGGCACCATATTGCACTTTAAAAACCTAAGCAAATAAAATTATGCTTCATAATTGGTACATGTAATACCTTGAGATCAACCATTGAAAGTTTTCAACTGGGAAAACTGGAAGTGATAAGGAACCACCGAGGTCGGTACAGTAATTCTGCTTTAGTCCTCTCAGATGATGAAAGTCTCTAGCAAGCGCTGGTTATTTTTTATTGCCAGGAAGGCGATAGGATAGCCTGTCTCTTAAATTTCTACTCTATTCAGATGGAAATTTTTAAAAGGCATTTATCGTTTTTATTTAAAATAGTTGACGAACTTAGGTATATACACAAGAGAACTAAAAATGTATGGGTCCACTAAAACTTGGACATGGTTGCTCACACTCAAAAAGTCCAAAGTCCATCAACGGATGGGTAAACAATATGTGGTATATCCATACAGTGGAAAATCACTCATAGAAAGGAATAAAATACGAGGCACAACATGCATGAATCTTGTACGCTTATTAAAGGAGCTGAACACAAAGGTTGCATAATTTATTATTTCATTTATATGAAATGTCCAGAATGGGCAAATCCATAAAGAAAGACTAAACTTATCAGTGTTTGCCTGGGGCTGTGAGCAGCGGGGTCAGGAATGGGGGAATGACTGCCAAAGGGTACAGCATTCTCTTTGGGGTGGTGAAAATACTCTGGAGTCAGATGGTGGAGATGGTTGCAAAGCTTTGTGTGAATATATTAAAAACCACTGAAGTGTGCACTTTACATCGATGAATACTATGGTATGTGAGTTATATCTCAATTTTTAAAAATATTTTATTTATTTATTTATTTGGGAGCGAGAGAGTACAAACAGGGGAGAGGGGCAGAGGGAGAAGCAGGCTCCCCACTGAGAGGGAGCCCAATGCACCTGATCCCAGGACCCTGGGATCATAACCTGAGCCCAAGGCACATGCCTAACCAACTGAGTCACCCAAGCATCTTAATTTTTTTTTTTATAAAGGTAATAGAAAGCAATTCCTACTTGGTCCCATTTTTTTTAAACTTTTTTTAATTTTTATTTATTTATGATAGTCACACAGAGAGAGAGAGAAGCAGAGACACAGGCAGAGGGAGAAGCCGGCTCCATGCACCAGAAGCCCAACGTGGGACTCGATCCCGGGTCTCCAGGATCGCGCCCTGGGCCAAAGGCAGGCGCCAAACCACTGCGCCACCCAGGGATCCCTTGGTACCATTTTTAAGAATAGTCAAGGGCATGCTGGGTTTGGTTGCACCTTCAGTGTTCAAATCACCATTGGCCAGAGTGAAGATGGCCCCCCACTACAGAGAGCAGGCAAAGGTCTCCAGTCCTGCCTCCCCAACCCTTGTAGGAGCATCTCTGTTAGCCTTGGGATCTACAGGGCCAATTTTGCATGCCTCACATTCCTACTCACCACCGTGATCCCCAACACTTCCTTCCAAGACCAACTGTCATGCAAGTCTCATCTCCCATATCTTCTTCACTTTCCTCATTGTGCTCACCATCTTTTATTCATCACCCCCCAAAATTTGGTTCTATTCATTCTCTTATCTCACTGGCCCAGGAAGTGCACAGGTAACAGCAGGGGCTCCATAAATTTCTGGTGAATGAGTCCACTTACAGGAAAAGTTGATATAGAAATTTGCACTGTGTATTATTTTAAAAATGTAGCTCCATGCTTCAAAATGTGTTTTTTTCCCATAAAAGGACTTCCTCCTCCATTTAAATATGTATCTTTAAGAAATAATGCACAAATAGTATTTTATTATAGACAATTCAGTTTATAAATCTCTATACACTTTAAGGAAACCATTTGGGCATCATAAACATTCAAATTTCAATATGCAAAATTAAATTTACAACAAGAAAATAAACACAAAATTATTTTTGAACTATGTGGTCATTGCTATACTACCTTCATAATTCCTATCCTGAGTCCGAAAATGTAGTCAAGCCCTAAAAATGTAGCAGAAGCATTTCCGCACACTGGTATCCATAATCTAGTTTGTGCAGCAATGTTTCCACTAGATTCATAGAGTACTCTTTGAAAAAAAGAAGCAAGAGCTGGTCATTTAGTGGCTCTTCGGACCTTCTGCAACTCTTCAATGGGCTTCCATTCTTGGTTGATTGTTATAAGCTTGGAAAAAAAGAAGGAAAACATGAAAGAGTTTTAGGATCTGCCCTTCATTCTCATGTCCCTTTTTGAGATTTGTCTACACTCCTCTTTGGAAAGAGCATCACCATAATATTTATAGTCAAGGAACCATCTCTCCCCATCTCTAAAAATATGCACAAAACAGTAACATGGGCTCTAAAAAGCCTTTGGGTTCCTAAGTGGTATAGCATCAGAAAGAAGGGTCATGTATATTTGCCCACTTTCACGTAACAGGTGCTAGATTTCTAAGTTGCCCTTGGCTTTATGTAATCTGTAAGTTCAAAAAGTGTGTCTGCTCCTGGTGAGTGGATGCATTCTGCTCTAGCACAGGGGCTTGGCCCATAGTAGGCTCTTAACCAAATCTCTTCATTGTAATTACTCAACAAAGGTACACATGATCCAAGTTATGCAATAAGGAAGAAGGGGCAGAGCTGTGTAAAGTCCTTGCCTTCCAAAAAACTCAAATTCAGAGATTCTCATTTATCCTTACAAGGTTTCTATTACCTTAAGATCTAAGAGATGTAGGTTTTGTTTTGTTTTTTTCTGTTTCTAAAAAATTTTTACATTTAACTCTAGTATCATTAACATTAAATGCCATCTTAGTTTCAGGTGTACAACTCTACACATAACTCAGTGCCCATGATTCATTAACCCTATACATTACTCAGTGCTCATGACAAGTGCCCTCCTTAATCCCCATCACCTATTTCCCCCATTGACCCACCCAGCTCCCTCTGGAAACCACCAGTTTGTTCTCTAGAGTTAAAAGTCTGTTTCTTGGTTTGCCTCTCCCCGCCCCTTCATCTTTGCTCATTTGTTTCCTAAATTCCACATATGAGTGAGATCATAAAGTATTTGTCTTGCTCTGGCTTAGAGATACAGATAGTTTTAAAGACTCTAAATATCCCTCACTAGGTCAAACTCCGCTATTTGAAAGCTGTTAAAAAAAAAAAAAAAAGATTTCCTGACAGACCTAAGTAAATTCCAGCAGACTCAATGTTTTTTACTTTCAAAATATTTAAAATGTTAAAAAAAAAAAAACTTTGGTATAGTCTTAAAAGAATGAGGGAAGGGCACGTGGGTGGCTAGGTCAGTTAGGTGTCTGCCTTCAGCTCAGGTCATGATCCTGGGGTCTTGGGACCAAGCCCGCATCCAACTCCTTGCTCAGCAGGGAGCCTGCTTCTCCCTCTCTTTCTGCCTGAAGCTTCACCTGCCTGTGCTCACTCTTTTAAAAAGAAATGAAATAGGGACCCCTGGGTGGTTCAGCAGTTAAGCATCTGCCTTCAGCTCAGAGCATGATCTTGGAGTCCCGGGATCAAGTCCCACGTCGGGTTCCCTGCATGGAGCCTGCTTCCCCCTCTGCCTGTGTCTCTGCCTCTCTCTCTGTGTCTCATGAATAAATAAATGAAATCTTAATAATAATAATATAATAAAATAAAAAAGGATGAGTGACTAATAACTGATTTTGTTTAAACAGAATACCACTCCTGTTTCTCGGAGCTCCTGTTATCACAACAGACCTTATATTAACTTTATTTTTTTTAATTTTTATTTATTTATGATAGTCACAGAGAGAGAGAGAGAGAGAGAGAGAGAGGCCGAGACACAGGCAGAGGGAGAAGCAGGCTCCATGCACCGGGAGCCCGACGTGGGATCCGATCCTGGGTCTGGGCCAAAGGCAGGCGCCAAACCGCTGTACCACCCAGGGATCCCCTTATATTAACTTTAGATAAATAATGGATACAATGGGATAACATATTACAATAATGATGAATATTAATATCTAGCCACTATGCTAAAGAATTTTATATATTTTATATTCTTTAATCCTCTTAACTCTGAGGTATAGATCTTTTTATTAAGCCCATTTTAGAGATTCTGAGAGCCCCAGAAAAGGCCAGTTGTCCAAAATCTCCTGTGAATAATGGAACAAGGATTTGAACCATATCTCCAGAACTCCATAGCACTCCCCTTATCACTACACTAAACGGTACTCTAAAAGTATTAAATCCATTTTGCTGACAAGGGTGCTAAAGTTCAGGCTAACTGTAAATCACTTTTTTTTTTTTAAGATTTACTTTAGAGAGAGAGAGACAGAGCATGAGCTGGGAGAGAGACAGAGGGAGAGAAATTCAAGCAGACTCCATGCTGAGCAGGGAGCCCACTTGAAGATGGATCCCACAACCTGAGATCATGATCTCAGCTGAACTCAAGATCAGACACTTAACCAGTTGAGTCATCCAGACATCTCATAAACCTTTTAAAAATTAATTTTTAAAAAATATTTTATTTTTATTTATTTGAGAGAGAGAGAGAGAGTGCATGCAGAAGCAGGAGGAGCTGCAGGCAGAGGGAGAGGGAGAAGTAGGCTCTCTGCTGAACAGGGAGCTGAATGCAGGGCTCCACCCCAGGACCCCAGGATTGCAACCGAGCTGAATGCAGATGCTCAACTGAGCTACCCAGGCTCCCCATAAACCACTCTCTAATGGAAATGTAGCAATACCTTGCTAGGTACACTAGGGTCCACGGTTTCCCAAGGTTCTGGATTTCTTTTCCGATCAAGGCTAAAAATAAAAGAAAGCTGATTAAACACTAAAGTAAGTGAATTTAAACCAACTCTGACATTGTGTCTATAAATATGCTGGGACATCATGGGACAGATCCAGGCTGATAACTAGGCATTCACCTGTTAGTTCACTGAAATTGAAGGTTAGGTAAGGGAGCCTCAGGATTTGGCTCAAATGTTGAGGACCAGTTCCTCTGCAGGATAGAAGGTCTGTATTCCCTTTGTTGGGCTGGATCAGAGAAAGTTCCCATAAGCTGAATAACAACGGGAATGGAAGTGCCAGGATAAGAGCCAACCAAGAATGTTCTGGCTCTGGTTTCTGGGAGAGGCAGAGGGTCTGGGCCTGAACCCTGCAGGTGGTGAACTGCACGGTGTGAGTCCCCTCTGCCAGAGCCTGGCCTTACTGCCCTTTCCAGCCCTGCGCTGGGCCAAGATCAGTTTCAAGTTTTTCTCTTCCTCATATTCCAGGATTCATGGTATTTTGGCTTCTTATATCAAGAGCTGATTGTAGACAACTGAATCTATAAACTCTATCACATTAAGGAAAGATCTTTCTAATAAACTGAAACGTAAAAATCTCATTAAAATAATGATTTCAGTTTGATGATATGCACCCCAAAGGCCATTTAAGAACTTTAGATTTCAAAACTTCAGTCAAAAAAAAAAAATCGTAAAACTTGGGCAGCCCGGGTTGGGTCAGCGGTTTAGCGCCGCCTTCAGCCCAGGGCGTGATCCTGGAGACGCGGGATCCAGTCCCACATCGGGCTCCCTGCATGGAGCCTGCTTCTCCCTGTGCCTGTGTTTCTGCCTCTCTCTCTTTCTCTGTCTCTCATGAGTGAGTGAGTGAGTGAGTAAATAAATAAATAAATAAATAAATAAATAAATAAATAAATAAATAAATAAATAAATAAATACAAACTAAAAAATTAAAGAATCCTAAAACTTAAAACGTAAGTTAAAAAACTTTGCTGTAGGGGATCCCTGGGTGGCGCAGCGGTTTGGCGCCTGCCTTTGGCCCAGGGCGCGATCCTGGAGACCCGGGATCGAGTCCCACGTCGGGCTCCCGGTGCATGGGGCCTGCTTCTCCCTCTGCCTGTGTCTCTGCCTCTCTCTCTCTCTGTGACTATCATAAATAAATAATAAAAAAAAAAACTTTGCTGTAGAAGTGGAAGAAGGCCAATGGATGAAAAGATATTTAGATACAAGGAACAAACTAACTTTATTAATATCGTAATTTAATAGTCCTCTGGTATCAGCATGCTTTCTAGTCCCACCTACAAGTTCACAGTTTGACCCTCTTAGTGTGAGGGTAAAACTCGGAAACTGAAACCATGCATTTCATTACTAAGGTCAATCTAACACTGCTAAAAAGCGTGTTTACAATTGGAGCCTACTTACATCACATCAGATTTTTGAAGGGAATATACAGCAAAAGACGAAGCTCCGCCCGCCGCTGTGGCCATGAACAGCACCAAAGGAATAAGCTAACAGAGAACAGGTGGAGGGTAAATATTCCGACGTTTCGATGTGAAACATATGAAATATAACAGAAGAGCTAGATGTCATTTTATGCTTTCTTCAAAATCTGCACCATCTTTTCCATCGTTAAAAATCAGTACTTTAAGAATGTCAATGGCCTTAAACACTTACTTCCTTCTTTTTCTTCAGGAGTTGGAAAAAGTTCATGATGACCTCAGCGCAGAAAGCCAAACCTAGAATTAAAACAAAACCAAACCGAGATACTGATCAAAACTTGAGCCCGGAGGACCCAACCCGGCGCGCGCCGAGCCCCCAACGTACTCCCCGAGGCGACCTCCCGCGGCTCACCTGGGAGGCGGCTCCCCTGGGAGGCGGCGCCGGGCCACACGCGCGGACGGCGCTCACGCCCAGGACGCAGCTGCGCCTCGGCGTCCGCGCTTATATACTGACCGCTCGGGTCACGCGGACTCGGGGCGGGCGTGGGCCGAGGGGGTCCTGCCGAGCCGGACTCGCTTTCCCCGCTCGGCTCCCGGCTCCCCGGCGCCCCCTGCAGGACGTCCTGCCCGCGGACGCGCCGCTGCCAAACGCGGGCGCGGGCGCCCCCTGGCGGCGGGCGCGGTCCCTACCCGCCGACCCGCGAGGGCCGAGGCCCGGCGTGGACCCCGGGGGCCGCTCCCAGCCCCGCCGCGCGCCTGCTAGGGCTGCCCCCGAGAACCAGCGGAGTTCCGATGGCCAAGGCCTGGGGGAAAATCAAGTTTGCTAATAGGCGGCCCGGAAAAGGAGCCGCAGAGCCGGGGGTGGGGGACGGTGGGGCTCCCAGGTGCAGGCAGGTAAATTAAAATCAATCCAATCACATTAACAGCTCCGAAATGTGATGGAGCGCACGTGCTCCATCACACGTGCTAATTAATTTAATTTAATTTAAAATTTAATTTAGAATTAAATTGTAAAATTCATTTCAGAAGAACTCTCATGATGTCCTGATTTATTCCATTTAATTTTTTGAAATTTCCACCCCCCCCCCTTTTTTTTTTTAATGGGAAAAATCAGGAAGTGAGGGAGAAGAAACAGAATCAGCTTTGGAATGAGTTCCATCTATGGGAGACGACACAGTCTTTGGCTTCAGTCTCCCTTTAATCGCCCCTAAACTAGCAGCGGTGCCTCGTACAGAGCATGCAGGAGTCTGCAAAACCACGGAAATAATGCTAACATTTCCATTAAGCCAGGCCCATGTGTCAGACTCTGTGCTGGAATCTTCTCAACGGTTTTGCAAGGTATGTTTTTTAGGCTCGGAGATGCTCAAGTCACGTAGCCAGGAAGTGGCAGGGCTGTAATCAGAACCCAGGTCTGTCTGGTACCCAACACCATTGTTCTTCCTGCAATTAAGCCAGGAACACTAGCTCGGTTATTTTTAAAATGGTTATTTTAAAACAATTATTTTAAAACTGAAGTTCAAAGCTGTGAGTTAATATTAAAACAGAAACATCATGTTCTCTGGAAAGGACCAGGCCCAGATCTGTTTCAACCTCATTTTTTAGTTCTAGGCATGGGCTTTGCAGCGAAACAGAGACCTGAGTTCAGAACCCACCCTGCCACACTTCATCAGCTGACTGACTTCAAGGAAACTACTTAACCCTTCCTTAAGAGTCTTAGTTTATAAATCTGTAAAATGGGAACAAATCTACTACAGGAAGCAGTTGGAAAACATATTAGAATGTATGTAAAGCGCATGGCATTCTGCCTTGGTAGTAGTAGGCATTCAATAAGTAGTAATTATTATTTGCAAAGATTTGTTTTGTTTTATATAAGGCAGATCATAAATGTAGCTTCACACCCACTTCAGATAAGGGTTCTTACTGTGTAACCCCAGAGCTGTAACTGGAGACATTCTCTGGTTGGTTCGGTTCACTAATCAATACAACAAAAAAAACCTCAACATTAATTCTCTGTGGTTTGTATTGAATAGAATCAAAGGAGCCTTTTAATGCTCCTTCTGCAGGATTTCTAAAACTCCTTTTGTCGGGAGTTTCTTTAAAAAGCCTCTTTTTTTTTTTTAACAATTAAAGATAAGTGTTTCTAGAAAGGAAGGGAGAGAGAAAGGGGAGGAGGAAGGAAGAAATTTTACAGGAATGTATCATGTCTCCCAGATTAAAAATTACAGTGTGTAGCCCTTGCCACTGATGGGTTTAAACTCAGAGCCCTGCTTCTTTCCAGTATTGCTTCTTTGCAAAATTCGGTGTTTTGTAGTAGTCTAGGCATTAACCTGGGGGCAGGGGCATGGTATATTTAAAAGATTAATGAGATATGAGTGTCTTTTTTTCAAGGTTCTTAAAATTTAGTGCCGGCAAATAACCCCAGGCATGGGGGTTAGTGCCTGCAAATAACCCCTGGCACCAAAGGCAGGTCATTAATTCCAACTAAGGGGGTCTGAGAAAACTTACAAAAAGTGAGGATATATATTTGGGGGCAATTAGGGAAACCAAATGTGGACCAGACATGAGAAGATATATTTTTTAAAGATTTTATTTATTCATGAGAGACACAGAGAGAGAGGCAGAGGGAGAAGCAGGCTCCATGCAGGGAGCCCGACGAGGGACTCAATCCCAGGTCTCCAGGATCACACCCTGGGCTGAAGGCCGCACTAAACCACTGAGCCACCCGGGCTGTCCAAGACATGAGAGATATTAAAGAAGTGTTGTTCATTTTGTTAGGTGTGATAATGGTATTATGTTTATGACAAAAATACCGCCCCCCCTTTAGAGATTGTGTATGGAAGTATTTAAGGGGGAAATGTGTTTTGTGTTTTTTTTAAGTAAACTCTAGGCCCAACATTGACACTTGAACTCACAGCTCTGAGATCAACAGCTGCATGCTTTTCCAAAAGCGCCGACCAGGTACCCCTTAAGGGAAAAATATGATGACTGAGATTTACTTTAAAATACTTCTGCTAAAAAACAAAACAAAAAATCCCACCAAAACCAGAAAAAAAACAAACTTCCGCTAAAAAACAAATGAAACAAAATATTAATGATTAGTCAGTCTAGGTGGTAAGTATGTGGGAGTTTGTTATAGTGCTCTATTCAAGAACACTTGAAAATGTTCAGAATAAAATGTTTTAAAAATTCACAAATTGTATATACAGATACCATGTGTCCATATAACCTTTAAGATCTGCTTATTTCTACTTGCAGCAGTGAGAATTAGACCCAGACAGCCACATTTTCCTTCCTTTAAATTAATGCCCAGGTTTACTGACCTTGTGGGAGATGCAAGGTCAGTACGTAATTTGTTTTCTCCCGGGATTATTTGCAGGCACAGCTCCCACCCTTCAAATTCCGGCAGTCCCCAAAAAACCCACTCAGGACACACACCAGGATCACTCTCTGTCTCTGCTCCAAAGCCTATTGGGGAGCCTCCCCACTCCACTCCAATTGCCAGTAACTTCTAGAACCTTCTCTAGCTGCTGCTAGCCAGTCTTGCAGGGGCATTGAGCCATAGCTGTTTGGCTCCCACTCTAGGAATTTCAACTTAGATTTTAATCAGCCCAGCTCAATCTTTATAAGAAAAATACTCTTTAAAATACTATGTTTTGGGGCAACCCCCTTAGGTCCCCTCCCTCTTTGGGAGCTTTGTACTATCACTCAATAAATTTTGACCACCATTAAAAAACTTAAAAATAAAATAAAATATTATTTTTTTGTTGAAATTCTTTCTGCCCATCCTTTAATGACTGCCTAGTTTCCAGGCTTAGCAAAAAACTGGATTTGCTAAATTTTGGACTGTCTAGGAGTACATTATATTGCTTATGGCTGTTAATGTGGCTCAGAAAGGAGTTTGAGCTCAGTGTATAGGGAAAGCTGTTCAGACTTCCCAGGTGCTTAGAAGCTGAAGTGTTCTTTTGTCACTGATTAAGAACACAAGTTTTAGAAGTTGCCCAGAGCCATCTTCAAATCACATTAAAACTGAGCCAAAGGGGCACCTAAGTGGCTCAGTGGTTGAGCATCTGCCTTTGGCTCAGGGTGTGATCCCCGGGGTCCTGGGATCGAGTCCCACATCAGGCTCTCCACAGGGAGCCTGCTTCTCCCTCTACCTGTGTCCCTGCCTCTTTCTCTCTCATGAGTAAATAAATAAAATCTTTAAAAGTAAATTAAATAAATAAAAATGATCTATATATGCATAAGGAACTAAAAAATTAAATACCTAAGTATTTTCTTTGTGTTTGTTTTTTACTAACATTCGAATTAACTTTTGTTTTAAAAGGAAATAAAAACATACATATAACCTAAGTCCTTAGAAGTTGCTTATAATTAGGGATGCCTGGGTGGCTCAGAGGTTGAGCATCTGCCTTTGGCTCAGGGCATGATCCCTGGGTCCTGGGATGGAGTCCCACATCAGGCCCACTGCAGGGAGCCTGCTTCTCCCTCTGCCTGTCTCTGCCTCTCTCATGAATAAAATAAATAAAATCTTAAAGAAAAATTGCTTATAATTACAAAAGGAAAAATAATAGCTATATGTAGAGGAATTGGACGATACCGTGAAGAAGTGATCAAAATTAACATCACCGATATGTAGAGTCATGTGCCTCTAGCAGTGATCTCTGAGAACACAGCCCTTATGTAGTGTTCCACTGATAGTGCATAACCTGAATCTATCATGATGCAAAATCAGACAAACAAACCAGAAGCCAGTCGTTCTATGAAATAGTTGGTCTGTACTCTTTAAATGTTGAGGTCAAGACTGAGGAACTGTTTCAAATCTAAAGACACATGACAACTAAATGCAATGTATGATCCTAGACTGGATTCCATAACTGGAAAAAAAAAAAACTGCTGTTGGGACAATAGATGAAAATCACTGGATAGATTAAAATGTTCTATCAATGTTAAATTTCCTGAGTTTGATAAATACACCATGGTTATCTAAGAAAATAATCACATTTATAAGAAATATACACTGAAGCGGCACCTGGCTTGCTCAGTTAGTGGAACATGTGACTCTTGATCTTGAGGTTGTGAGGTCAAGCCCCACATAGAGATTACTTAAAAATAAAATCTTGAAAAAATATATACACTGAAGTATCAAGGGGTAAAGGGGCATGATCATAAAATCTTTTAAATAGTCCTGAAAAATACTGTGTGTGCATGTATGTGTGTATATATAAAGGAGAAAGCAAATATGGCAAAATGTCAAAAATTGGTGAATCTGGTTTGAGTTCATAAGAGTTCTTTTTGTACTATTCTTGCAACTTCTGTAAGTATGAAATTATTTCAAAATACAGTTTAAAAAAAGCAATCAAGCCAAAACAAACAAAAGCAACCACCATCCCCACTACAAAAATCAACATACAGGGGTACCTGGCTGGTTCAGTTAGTAGAGCATGCACTCTTGATCTTGGGGTTATAAATTCGAGCCCTACATTGGGTGTAGAGATTACTTAAAAATAAAATCTG